CCAGCTGTCACTCTCTCGGCCTCTGGATTTTTGCAGTGACCCCTTCCCATACTCACAAAGATCAACTTGGGTTGTCCGATGGTGGGCTTCAGAGCATTCCAAATACCAGTGCACACACAATGAGACGTTGGAGTAGCCAAAGTCCTGTTGCTGACACATGAAAAAAAAATTGTCAGGGACAATTCTCCAAATAGGCTAAGGGTGCTGGAGGCATGGTGGCCTGTTACTCTCTTGCATACAGTGGAAAAGCGTAAGTACATTGTGATAAAGTTTTCTCTGCCTTTTCTAGTAAGGTAGCTAAATTATGAATAATTAAAATTTATCAAAATGCATATGAAATCCTCTTGTAGTCCCCCACAGTCCCAATTAGTTTGAGTAATCTGCTCATAAAATTAAATCCTCCTCTTGTACTCCTCCCAGCCCCCTCCTTTGTTTCATTCATCCTTTCTCCCTTTTTCGCACAAACTTGCATTTCCCTCTCTGTCACCTCTGCTTCCAAGAGCTTTCCCTGTGTCTCTCCGAATGGATTTCCCCTCCTTGCCACCACCACTGACCCCTGCATCTGTAAGCTTGCTTCTGTCTCAGTTGCTCAGAAGGCCCTCTCTTGGCCCCGGTAGCTACCTCTTGGATTAATGCAACCAGCTGCCATTTATAACACCATTATCCCACTGCGGCTGTGTCTAGTGTGCAGATATATTCAGCTTAGTAGGAATGGGAGAGCTAGAAGAGACAACTCAGTTAAAATCATTAACTGCTTCTACACAGGCTAAGACTATAGTTTCCTAGAACAGTCTTCAAGACCCATGATACTTTCACCAAAGTGGGAGTATTGACATACATACCATATGACCGCTGCATCCTACAGAGTGCAGTGATAAGTGCTACCTAAGTTTTCTAACCTAAAAAGCAAGTGAAGAGGGGGGAAAAAGCACAAGTACTGACACACAACTCCAGTTGAGTGGGGCAAGGAGGAAAACTCACAAAATGTTCCACATCCTTGCTATGGAGATAGAGGCTTAACCCAGGAGTTGGGCAACTCATTGTTTGGAGCTAAGAGTAGTATTCTTTCAGCAGGCAACCAGGACACCAAGAACTAGGGGGCTGGGGAAAAAAGAGAATAGAGGGAGGGTCATAATTTTTGAGAAAGCCTTGACATTTTGATATTTAATCCTAACCCACATGCTGTTCTGTAATTTAAGCATATTTCATATCAATTATTAAACTACACTGGTTTTCCTCTCATTTTGAAACTAGACCTGAGTCCACATCAAGAGATCAGGTCTGTATCCCTACCCTGGAGTTTTGGGAAAGCCCAGATCTGGACTCAGCTTCTGTTTTGCCCTTATTCTTTGGGGCCAAACCAAAAGTCTGTATTTGTATGCCTGTGAGAGTTAGAATAATTTGGATTTCAAATCCTATTTTATGACTCGTCTTAGTTATAACTGAACATCTAATGACTCATGGATGCACATCATTTTTGTATTCATATTTTTTATTTCAGCAGAAGCCATTTGAGATCAAATTCCTGTTGACCAATACCATAACCATAACGCTGTCTTCACATTTGTCTCCACCCATTGGTCTGTCTTCAGATATTTGCAAGAAAAAGGCATACAGCTGAATATATCATGAAAAGGGCATTTACTTGTCTAAATTTGATAGCTTCAGACATACTCTGATGTTTAAGTGTCCTTTCCCCATTGTTTATGCTAGATTTAGTAATTTATGATTTTAGCTTTCTCCTTTCCCTAAATAAAAGTTCCAGCTGGAATATTAGATAGCTTTCAGTTACATCCAGAAAACGTCATGGTAAATGAAAACAGAGCCTAGCATTTTCACTCAGTATTATTATTAATATTTTTATTTAACTCTGCTGGCCCATGAGCCAGATGTCTGAAAATCTTTGACTGGAACAATTTTAATAGTTCATTCCCTATCCATGACTAACAATGTAATATAGTCACAAAACCTGCTTTATGACTGCTTGCTGAAAGAGGACTTAGTTTAAAGATCTATGTTCCATTGACCCAAAAAGTGAACATCTGTTGATGTTAATTTGATGTACATAGACTGGATTTAAAAATATCATAATCTTGTTAGAGCTGGCGTAGCAGACCCTAATTCAGATTAATTTATTAAAGAAAGTAAAATATTTCAAGTTAAGTCAAAGCTACTAGTAAGTATCCAATGGTGGCAAACATCCAGTCCCCTTGTGTAAATTAGTTTTAATATTTGATTTTTGCCAAGAAAAAAGGTGATAAGACACACAGATGTGTTGTACATTAAATATAAATGCTGGATACCCAGGATCTTGGCCCCTGGTTTAGAGCACACCACAACAAGTCTGTGGTTTGGCTTGCAGAAGTGATGATTTCTGAAACGCTCCTGATTTTCAGGAGATCTGTAGATAGTGAACAGGCCATTAATAGAAATTATATATGCTCTACAATGTGTGTTCTGTGGCATTTTGTTGGCATGTCACATGCATTGTATTGGTATTATTGATACCTTTTCATGATCAGGTTTGTATGTTTTCTTTCATAGTCATTGGTTGTGAATTCAGTGTGTTATGGCTGTAATTGACCCAAATCCAAAGAAGTTCTTTCCAGAACAGTGGCTGTCAAAATCTTTACTGAAAAAGGCCTGACTTCTGTCAAAACTAATAAATGCAAACCCCTTTACCCCATTTTACTGTGCCAACTAATTATAGCCATTTCCTGGGCAAGTTTCACTGAGATGCAAAAAACCATTTTTTTTAAGTACACTAAAAGCTGCGCTATCCGGCATCTTGCAAGCTGGCATGCTCTACTAACTGGCATGCCGGCTTGTAAGATAAAGTGAAACTGGAAGTGTCCACTGCAGCACTTCTGGTTTCCCTGAGCCCCCATGGCCAGGGCCAAAGCAGCCTGCGCTGCTGAGCCCCCATGGCCCAGGCTGTGTGGGGCCCGCCTCCCTGTCCCGCAGGACCCACAGGATGGTCGACGATGCGGCAGGAGGGGCGGAGGGACGCCCCAGACACGGCGGGAAAAGTGGCAGCTGGGGCCGCTCAATTGACCGGCATATTTTGTTATCCGGCATCCCCCATTCCCAGAGGATGCCAGATAACAGAACTTTTACTGTGTAAAAGACTGATAACTAACACTGTCCCAAACTGAAACTGGAGTGACCTGTGGGTCCTCATGAGGAGATGGAGATTGTAAGTAGGAAGAACAAAGAAGACATCCCAACAAGTCCTCTCCACTTGAAATGTTCTGCGCTGTTGCATCTCACCACCAGAGCCCAGTGGCGGCTACTCTTTAGGGGTGTGCAAAGCGGGCAGTATTTGATTCAGATTGGGATTCAGCCTGATTCGGGAGGACAGTGATTCAGTTTGATGATTCAATTTGGCCAAATCTGAAGATTCGATTCTGATTTGGAAAATCAGCAATTCAGCCATAGACACAGCTTCATATGTTTTTTCTAGGTACCTCAAGGTACCAAGCATGGCTCGTGAAAGCTGAGATGATGGGGCAGATGGGGCATTCCACGGGAGCATGAGGGGGGTACTTCTGTCCACTTCCGGGTCTGCTGCTGAGCGTATGAGGGACTCCCCTGTGTTTGCATGGAGCGCTCCACCCGCCCCACTATCTCAGCATTCATAAGCTGTGCCTGGTACCTCCAGGTACATAGAAAAAACATATAAGCCTTCCTGAATCTCTCCAAATGGAATTGGAGGCTTCCAATTTGATTTGGAGAGATTAATGGGTCTCCTGATTTGATTCGGGTTTGGAGATTTGGCTGCCAGATCAGGCCAAATCTCCTCCGAATTGAATCAGCAGCTGAAGCTTCACACAGCCCTACTACTCTTGTGTCTTCTTCAATCTGTTCCCCTTAAAGGGAGCAGTGGAGGAAGCAGTCTCACAATCCTCAGTGTCAGTATCAGAACAGTTCCAATGGTTGGGAAACAATCCTCATTGCAACCTGCAAAAGTGATGGGCTTTTGAGGAGAGTATAGTTTGAGTGCGTGAAAGAAGCTAGGAATCAAAAATAAGAAAATGTGCATTGTTTCTAGAGGCTGTGGTTACAATAGTAAAAAGAAATGCCAGTTATTTCCGTGCTGTCCAGGCCACACATTTTGACCCTTTAAAGGCACATTACTCTAAGGAAGTGAAATGAAAAGTGAGAAAATGAGTATCAGGCTCAGTTTTGTTTCTAAGATTTGCGTGTACATTGGTTGTCAGAGTTTCCATGAGTGGTCCTGAAAAAAGGTGAATAATTTGACACTTCTCCCTCCCCTTCTTTGTACTCCAAGAAGACAGAACCCTAAGCCCCCAACTTTTATAAAGCATTGACAAACTTCCCGGGGCTTCATATTGATCAGCGTATGTCCTCAAAGTAATGTCTGCTGGCTTTTTTGATTGAAATGAGTTGTTTAACTATCTTCTCTTCTCACTGATGTTAGTATTTGAAAAGGTAGCATAGTATTGAGAGATGGAGCTAAATTCTGCTTCTTCCCTAAATGCCAGCAAACTCTTCCTTAGAAACAGGAACTTATTTCCATAGCAGCACCAGGCCCTGTCCTCCATTACAGCTGTGCAAATCCTGATGAATGCTAATATAACTGAGGGCAAAGTGATGTTAAGGTATAACCAAAGGTAAAATTTAACTTAGAATCCGTTAATGGTAATGATACCAGTTTGGAAAGAAATTATAAATGATACCAAGGAAAAAAGCCAGTTTGATTATCAGATTTCAGCTTGAAGTTATATTACAGTTTTGCCACACTACCAAATTTGATCTGAAGTCATTGGTTCTCAACAAATACAATACACAAGAAGAATAGTGTGAGTCACATTTTAATAAGAAATACCCTTTAATGGATTTTTAATATAGTTTGCTTCACACAAGGCAAAGAATTATCTCAAATTTTGGGCAATAAGAATGACTTTTGAGGAAGTATTCAAATGAGTCTGGCAACCCAGTGTGGAAACCTATGTTTCTTTCTTCCTTTACTTTTCTAGCCAATTTTCTAGACAACATGCCTTTGAGGAGTTCTGGCAAGCTAAGCATAGAGAACAGAAAGGAAGATGGTGAGAGTACAGCCCCTGCTCCTCCCCAGAAGAAGCTGTCTTGTCAGTGCCATCACCACTGTCCTGAAGATTCAGTCAACAGCACTTGCAGGTTTGTGGAACAGATCATGTCTAAGGGGTTTTCTTAATGAATGTACAGTAGTAATGTAATTCTTCAGTCTGTATTTAAGCTATGTAAAATTAGTGTGTGTGTTCAAGTTATCTGGAAGACAGCTTTTTTTGTAGATATGTAGCTTCTATAACATGAGGATTCAAGTTTGAAAATGTTGGCCAATACTTTTATTAATTATTCGCACACAATGCTATTTGAACACGGTATGGGTTTGCAACAAAATACAAGAAATTGCTTGTGTATTTACATCTATATTTATAAATACATATATAGGGGATGTGTATATGTACATTTCTGCATAAACTGATCATTTGAGATTAACACACACCATCGGGTATCATAAGAACCTGCATTCATTATGATATAGGGAAAATTAACAGTATCAGCAATTGACTTTTTTTTGCCTGATGTGGCTGATAATGTGTCCAATAAATGCCCTGTGAATGCATGCAGCCACAGCATGCACATGGCCGGGAGCACAGCCCAGTGGCTTGGAGAGCAGCATCGGGCTGGTAAGTCTGCTGTGGGGGAAGGGGTGCATGTGCCCCCAGATCTGTGCATGGGGTGAGGGCAGGCTGCCACTGTGGGCTGGGGCTGCACTGGGTTCTTCCCAACAGGGAGGTTGTGCCGGGCTGTGCTCGGGGTGGGCAGCAGTGGCACTCAGAGAGGATTTGGAGGGGCTATGGCAAATTTTGGGGTGGCTGCAGCCCCCACTGTAGCCCCACTCCCAGTGTCACCACCACCCACCTTAAGCATAGCCCAGCTCCAACCCACCCTGCTTTGCACACAGATTCGGGGGCACATGCCCCTGTTCTCTTCCGGGGTGGGCGAAGCAACAGGAGCCATCCCCCACTCCCTGCACTCCTCAGATGAGCTGCTTGCAGCTCTGTCCCATGCCCTGCCCCACCCCAGCTGGGAAGCACCTGCCCCTGCCCCTGCCCCACTTCCTTCCTCACCACAAGGACCTTGATCTGCCTCCCACACCACACTTACGAGCCTGATGCTGTTCTCCACGTTGCCCAGCTGCATATCGGAATCAGATCGGTATTGGCCCATATGGCTCCTTAAAAATCGGCCATCAGTGTTGACCAAAAAAGTCTCTATTGGTGCACCCCTAATATTTATAAAATGTTTGGAAAAACTTTAGGGAATCTTTCAAGAATGATTTTACGTTTGCTTCTCTTTTATTGTTTTTCTTTTCTCAGTATTAAATACCAGTATTTTTTCTTAACGTATTTGCTATATTTATCTGTTTTTATTTAATATTTTTTGGTTATAGATTTCTGACAAACTTTTTTTTACTAACCATGTTGGAATTTACGCATAAGAGTCAAAGTGAGTTAAGAGCCATTGCATGGCTCTGAAAGAAGGAACAAAATGTATTTCCCCTTCCCCCCCGTGCAGATGTGCACAGACCACTTTCTGTAACAGTCTCTGTGAGTGTGTCTACATGAGATGTTTACTGTGCAGTTGACCAATTAACTATGCAGCAAACATCTCAGTGTCTACATATGTGCCCCTGTTATGGTGCATGAAACTCATAAACTCCACAGCAGGGTAGTCTTGTAAAATACAAGTATTTTCATGTGTATCAGTGCACATGTAGACAGTGCCCCGTCTGGCTGGGGGCACAGGGTGCTTTGGTGCAGGGCTAGCAAGCAAGCAGTGATAGCAGATAAGAATAAAGTAAGCAAGATAAAGAAAATACCCCCTCCCCATCCTGATTCTATAACTACCAGTCCTAGGGCTGTCACAGAGACAAGGTACACCTGGCAAGTGCGCAAGCTTCACCCTTCTTGAATGTCAGATATCAGCAGACTGGAGGTTGAGGGATGAGCCCCTCCACCCCCAGTGGGCTGGGTGAAATGGGCTGGTGATATGCCGTCTGTCGATGGTGGCCTTGAGTTCCCTCATCGGGGACCTTTGCTGCTCTGAAATCGCTCCTTTTGTATTCTTTCTCCCCTCTGATGACTCTTCATTCCCAGGCATAATTGATTGCTCTCCCAGTGGTCATCAGACTGTCCATATTCTGTTGTGTCAACATATTCCTTTGTTCCAACAAATCCATCACATGCACATATCTTATTCTAGTCATTTACCAGGCCTCTTAATTTAGTTTGTTCACCAAAACCAGAAATCCCAAGGGCTCTGCAGTTGGGCACCATGACCTAATGCTGCTTTCCATGTTATGGAACAGTGTGGTACATGTTTTCAATTTCCCAGCCTGTGTGTCTGCTTGCTTCAGACACAGTGGGCCCTGAAGGAAACTTTGTCACAAACAGGCTTTTAGAAACCAGTTAACCCTTACCATTATTTTAATGCATATCTCCTTTACTTACCAGCCAATTCCTAACAGCAAACCTCTAATTACCATTTTTTAGCCATCATCAGCCAGCTCCCATGTAGCACATGAAGCCTGGTCAGAGCACCCCTGGGCTGGCAGGCTAACTACTGGGTCTCCAACCAGGCTCCATGTGCACATGAATAAACTGCTCCAGAGTTTTTTGTTCCGAGGCACACATTCAAATGGTGCACTCAGGAGCAAAAATCTCCAGGCCATAAGCTCCCAAGCTTATTGGTCTGCATTAATTGCATGTATAGATGCACCCTTTTACACTCAGTGAAGGGAACACAGAATAGTGCTCATTCCTGTTTTCTGCTCCCATGACAACTTGAAAGTGGGGGAGAGGGCCTTGTCCTCTCTGTACAACAGACTGCAGAGTAAACCAAACAAATGTATAGTGACCAAGGAGCAAATATACTCCATTCTGATACACTGAGGAAAATAGTCTTTCTCTATGCAGAAGGAGCAGCACCAGAGTATCTGTGCCTCTCTGGCATTCCTCCTGCAACAGGAGAGAGCGTGTCCCTGTGCTGGGTTAATGGCGAAATGCAACAGATTAGCCTAAGGTAGATATGTATGGTAGACCTGTCCTGTAGTGACTCTCAGTCAGTGATCAGGTCACAAAGGGAATGGATGCAGGTGTTGCCGTGGACATAGTCTTTTTAGACTTCAGC